CTATTTAAACAACAAATCAAAGTCATTTATAGCCTCGGCAGGCTCTGTGATCGCACTTCTCCACTCTGCTCTACGCGCGCCTGGTCCTCTCCTCCAGATGAGTGACGTATCGGGCCTCCCTCATGTATCTGTCCGGTTGCCGTTGGCTCCCCTCCACGTAGCAAGTCCTCGTCGTCCTCCCATCTCCTCCAACAGATAATGTCCCTCCTGTCTGTTTTTCCTCTCCCGTACTCCATTGCTATCAGAACCAGATGGCCTACTTGGCTCCGAGGCCCCCGCGGCCGGCACCGCTGCCGCTCGGTACAGAACTCATCTGTCCTTCCTCCTCATCCTGGCCTACAGGTTTAAAATAACCTGTAAACTTAGGCATTTTTTGTAATAGCTGCTTGTCTCGAAACTCCTTTTCCCTCAACAATTTCCTTTTCCGAGCGCCACTCTCAAACTTTTTCTTCTCCGACATTTTCTCCTAAACAACCTTCATCTGTCACTCAATCACTCGCAATTTGAATAAGTCACATGTGAAACATATTCTCATTCTGATTGGCTGTTAAGTGACTGACTGTTTTGGAGTCATCATTTTTGAGAAAAATCTCTGGAATCCATCGATCTGATTGATTAGCGGAGCAAATGATCAAAATAGTATGGAGGGAAGATATTTTCGTTTGGATTACTGGTCTGGGGGAAGCTCACGAGTGTGTGTATACTTGTGTGTGTTTGTGTAATTTTGCATTTGTGTGTATTGTGTTTGTTTCCCGGGGAAAATACTCACGAGAAACACCGGCTGTTGTTATGCCTGCTGTGACGTCAAGTTACTATTCAGAATTCTTATCTGAATTCTCTGAGTTTTTATCAACTTTGGTTCTTAAAACAGATAAAGTAATTATCGTAGGTGACTTTAATATTCATGTTGACGATGATAAAAATAGCCTTACTGTTGCATTTAACTCTATATTAGATTCTGTTGGTTTTTGTCAGAGTGTAAATAAACCAACCCACTGCTATAATCACACTCTCGACCTTGTTCTGACTTATGGTATTGAAATTGAGCAACTATTAGTCGAACCGCATAATCCTGCTTTATCCGACCATTTCTTAGTAACTTTTGAAGTACTGTTACGAGACTACAAAGCATTAGTCAAAAGCTCCTGCAGCAGAAACCTATCTGTTAGTGCTATAGCCAAATTTAAGGAAGAGATTCCACCAATACTTAACTCGATAGCATGTCTGCATGTAAGGGAGGAAACTTATACAAAATGTACACCACCCCAAATTGATCATGTTGTTGATAGTGCTACAGATGCGCTGCGAATAAAATTAGACTCTGTTGCTCCTTTGAAAAAGAAGAAAATAAAACAACATAGATTAGCTCCATGGCATAATGCCCAAACCCGCAAAATAAAGCAAAAGTCGAGACAACTTGAAAGGATATGGCGTTCCACTAAACTTGAAGAATCTCGTTTAATTTGGCATATTACTCTCAATGAATATAAGAAAGCACTGCGTAAAGCGAGAGCAGCCTACTACTCTTCATTAATAGATGAGAATAAGAATAATGCAAGATTTCTTTTCAGCACTGTAGCCAGGCTGACAGAGAGCCACAGCTCGATTGAGCCTTCTATTCCCATAGCACTCAGTAGTAATGATTTTATGTGCTTTTTTAATGATAAAATTGTTACTCTTAGAAACAAAATTAATGACCTCTTGCCTTTGACCAGTATAGTGTTATCAACAGCTCCCGGAAACGTAAGTTCTAATATTACACTAGATAGTAAACTAGAATGCTTTTCAGCCATAAACCTTGAACAATTAAATTCAATGATTCTCTCTTCTAAACCATCAACGTGTATGTTAGACCCAATTCCAACTAAGCTGTTGAAGGAAGTTTTTCCATTAATTAGCACTTATTTATTAAATATTATGAATATGTCTTTATTATCAGGCTATGTTCCACAATCATTCAAAGTAGCAGTGATAAAACCGCTTCTTAAAAAGCACAACCTCGATTCAGAGATTTTAGCCAATTATAGACCTATTTCCAATCTTCCGTTCCTCTCAAAAATTCTTGAGAAAGCGGTCGCAAAACAGCTGTGTGATTACTTAAAAAACAATGATTTATTTGAAGATTTTCAGTCTGGCTTTAGAACACATCATAGCACAGAGACAGCTCTGGTTAAAGTCACAAATGACATTCTAATAGCCTCTGACAAGGGACGTGTCTCTATTCTTGTTTTGCTCGATCTCAGTGCTGCATTTGATACTATCGACCATGATATCCTATTGCAAAGACTAGAGCACTTAGTTGGCATACAGGGAACTGCTTTAGACTGGTTTAGGTCCTATCTATCTGAACGCTCTCAGTTTGTACGTGTCAATGATGAATCTTCCACGCAAACCAAAGTTAGCCATGGAGTGCCACAGGGCTCAGTGCTCGGACCTATTTTGTTCACATTATATATGCTTCCGTTAGGCAATATTATAAGGAATCATTCTGTACATTTTCATTGTTATGCGGATGATACTCAACTATATTTATCAATCAAGCCTGATGAAATTAATCATCTAAATAAAATTCAAGACTGCCTTAAGGACTTAAAAACGTGGATGACCTTAAACTTTTTGATGTTAAACACGACCAAAACTGAAGTTATTGTACTTGGCCCGAAGAATCTACGAAACAAATTATCTAAGGATATATTAACCATGGATGGCATTAATTTGGCCTCCAGTGAGACTGTAAGGAATCTTGGTGTTATATTTGATCAGGATTTATCCTTTAACGCCCACATAAAATCAATTTCAAGGACCGCCTACTTCCATCTACGTAACATTGCAAAAATCAGGCATATCTTGCCTCAAAACGATGCAGAGAAACTAGTCCATGCATTTGTTACTTCAAGGCTGGATTATTGTAACTCTTTATTATCAGGGTGTACCAAGAAGTCAGTCAAGTCGCTTCAGCTGATTCAAAATGCTGCAGCTCGTGTACTAACCAGTTAGGAAAAGGGATCACATTACTCCTGTTCTGGCTGCCTTACACTGGCTCCCTATAGAACACAGGATAGAATTTAAAATTCTTCTTCTCGCCTACAAAGCCCTTAATGGGCAGGCGCCATCTTACCTTAAAGAACTCATTATACCCTACTGTCCTACTAGGGCATTGCGTTCCAAGAATGCAGGGTTGTTGGTTGTTCCTAGAGTCTCTAAAAGTACAATGGGAGCCAGAGCCTTTTCTTATCAAGCTCCACATTTGTGGAATCAGCTTCCAGTTTGTGTTCGGGCGGCAGACACCCTATCCGTTTTTAAGAGTGCGCTTAAGACCTTCCTTTTTGATAAAGCTTATAGTTAGGGCTGATTAGATTCAGCCCCTAGTTTTGCTGATATAGGCTTAGTTTGTCGGGGGACATCTTACTTCTTCCTTCTCTCTGTCTATACCTGTGTACTCTCATGTTCCGATTAACCCAGCTTCCCCAAATGTCTTTCTTTTTGGTGTCTATATACGCCAGGATCCGGAGTCATGGATGATCCTGCGCTCCTCTGTCCTGGATCTTGAGTCGTGGCTGTGGTCCTGGATCATAGGTCCTGGATGGATATCCTCGTGGATTCATCTTCCTATTATACACACATGCATTTCCAAACATTTGGACTACCTATGTTGCAAATGTATTATCTTTTCAATTTACACACGGCATCTATTGCACGTCTGTCCGTCCTGGGAGAGGGATCCCTCCTCTGTTGCTCTCCCTGAGGTTTCTCCCATTTTTCCCTTTAAACTGTGGGTTTTCTTCGGAAGTTTTTCCTTGTACGATGTGAGGGTCTAAGGACAGAGGGTGTCGTATTGTCATACTGATATGTTGTACAAACTGTAAAGTCCACTGAGACAAATGTAACATTTGTGATATTGGGCTATATAAATAAACATTGATTGATTGATTGATTGATTACTCCGTTCTCCGCTTGTAATTATGCCGAAGCTTCAAAGTTTATCATCTGAATATTACATTACATGTTACTTGTTAGACGCTTTTATCCAAAGCGATTTACATACTCAATACTGTGGGCAATCCCCACAGGAGCAATTTGGGGTGAATTGTCTTGCCCAGGGACACAACGACATGCTGACAGCAGTGGGGTTTGAACCTGTGACCCCCTGATCCCAACACCAAGGCTCTATCCACTGCGCCACACGCCTCCCGATATGCCGAAACAAGTTTAATATTCTGAAAGCCAAGACTTTGTTTATTTGAAATCAGATGAAAACAAACTGTAACGGACCCTGCCGTGTTATCTATGATTACTATACACCTTACATTCATAATTTCAGCCGGAGGGAGGGGGTGCGGCGCTGTGGAAGTGCAGGGTGGCGAGTGAGAGCTGTCATCTTCCCTTTACAAGCTTCAAAAATGTATTTATCGTGTGATTTTGGAAATAAAAGTTTCATATTCTGAAAGCCAAGACTTTGTTTATTTAAAATTTTAAAAAAACACCCGAAAAAAAAAAAATATATATTTTTATTTGTTTGTATTGGCTCATGATAGGCCCCCGATCTCCGTAGGCCCCTGGGCTTCAGCCCAGGTCAGCCCGTGCATTAAGGCGGCCCTCCATGTAGTATAATATTTTACAAATGATGAATTACAGCAAACATGTGCAATAGCCTATATCCATTACTACAGCTCCGTGGGCTGGCAGTAAGGCGATATGGTCCGTTGTTATTGTGCATCCATGGTAAAGAGAAACTCATGTAGGCTAGTACTGAACACGTAACATGAACGTGCCGGGCGGCGCGGTCCCGTGGGTTAGATGCGCGTTCATAATGCAGAGGGAAATAACTCTCAGAATAACGTTATTAGCACATTTTTACAACTTGCAGAGGTTCAGTCTTCTGCCTGAAGGAAAGCTAGCCAGCAACGTCCTGAAGCTAGGTGCACCTGACCTAACACACGCCCTTAACGGACCCTCTTCGCGGTTCCCATTGGAAGGTACCATTTCTTAAATAGGGGTGACAGAGATATTTTATATGTTGCAAATATTAGGAATATTAATAACTGATGCGGTCATAGGTAACATTTCAAACATCTGTTTCTAGATGCACATCATTCCACAAGTTATTCCCAGGCATTATTATGACGTGTATATATATATATATATATATATATATATATATATATATATATATATATATATATAGGAAGACGACTCACCGGCCTCCCCCATACAGCTAGAGAATGTGATAAACCCACTTCATTAGTTATTTTCCCCAACGTGTACATGGCCTGCTGCAGAAACGTTTTAATATAGTTAACTTTTGGAAGATTTCACGATGCTTTGGCGGTGCGTTATCTGCTGCGTTTTTATAACTTTTTCACTGAAATTATTATTGAGCCATATTAATCGACTGCACAGTCGCAGCTCTGACTTCAGGTTGCTCTGTGGCATTGATGGATGCACTGAGGAATATAGAGTGTACAACTCATTCTACCATCATGTAAAGAGAAGACACTTTCAACATCTTCTTGAAGACACCAGACCTGGCGACGCCACACGTGGATATGAAAACCGACAGGAGGAAACCCAAGGACCGCAGCAAAAAGTAAGTAACGTCTGCTAATTCAGCTAAGATTGTTAGCTACAGTGTTTGGGCCACGTGGCCACTCGGATACAGGGTTAGTTTCGTACATTTTGTGATGCTACAGATAGCGTTAGCCAATACTGATCAGCCACATTTAGTTATTATAAATCCATTAGCATTAACTAATGAATCTGCTAGGCTACAAGCAGGCGGCATCTGTCAACCATATATTTTTAATTCAGCAGTTAGCTATGTAGTGTTTTTGTGGGGATGAAAAAACCGTAAAAAATATGCATTACGTTGGTGTTCGGCCACAGTTACTAAAACAGTAAATCACAAAAATTATGGTTTTCCACTTTTTCACTCTGCAATATTCTGCAAGGTGCATGCATCACTGTCAGGATCTGCACATGATTTGTTGAATTCACAGTTTTAGCAAATCAGAAATAAATCTCAAATTCTTTACCCACTATTAAACTTAAAACAAAAATAAATAGATTTTCAAATTTGATTAGAAAAAAAAGTTTCATGGTTTTGTTTTCTGGACTGAAAAAATGTAATAAAGAGTGTTACCCAGACAATGGATAAAGTGCTACGGCTTACAGTTAATAATTGTTGCTGAAATAACTCTTACCCCCAAAGTTTGTTTAATGTGAAAATAATCTTAGATAGAAAGGAATTACATATTTAAATTGCTCTTTTAGTGAAGCTAATTTTTTAATTTTTTACAATTTCAAACAATCTTGTTTCTTTGATATGTTGTACACAGGACAACATTCAACCCGATCAGCTTCCAGCCGACTCCAGCAGCGAGGATCAGAACCTTCACACACCTGACTCAGTTGAAGAGCAAATGGGCATCGACCAAGATGGAGCTGTCACAGTGCACCAAGTATGTTTTCTTTGTTGTTGACTATCTACTGAAAATTAAGGGCTGCTAAATAAAGGTCAGGCCGATATAGTAGTGGCTAATATTGGCCTAGCATATCATTTATATATCAATATTATGTTGAAATATTTCATTTAAATTCACCAAATGATTCATAAAACCTAGAGGTATATGTGAAGATGTATTTCTATGTGCTGTACTAGCAAAACTAAATGAACACAAAGAGTTAGAATGGCTTATTGTCTTGTTGGAGTACTAATGTTTGATATGTTTTGGTCAGAGTTACAACATATTAAATTATCTATCTTTGCTCACCACATGTCACCAGTTTTTTATCATCAGATGTGCATACATTTAAAGATTATATATTTCTGTCACATTGAGTAATGTTATACCTGCAAATGTCAAGTTACTACATTTTGTATTGTAGGATCTGACAACACATGCCACTGCCTTTGTTATCAATGCCCGATCCAAGCATCGTCTGTCACAGGTAAAATGCTTCCTATGTAACCTTTTTGGACTAAAAGCATTATGCCATGTGTGATCTGCTTCTCAGAACATATTAACAGGAAATATTTTGTGTGCGACAAAGAAATGCAAATGAGCATTTATTATCCAGAAATTCAAGCCATTCACTCTGACTAACCCAGTAAGGGATTTCCCATATTTTATTACAATTTATAACCAGACACAGTGTAGCCATATATTAAGTTAGACCTAGTTGTTCTTTGAGAACAGAGCACAGTATTTGGCTACCTACTGTACACAGTTAGCAGTTAATAGTGGTTCACTGATGGCCGAGTTCAGTTTTAGTGCTTTGTTATCCACTTTACTGTTGTGTCTATGTCATAAGCAAAACTCTATATCACATAAAGCTACAGTGATCATGATAATGTTTACCAACATCAAAGATTGATCACATCGCTTTCAATCTCTCATTTTCAGAAAGGCATGAATGACATTGTTGCTGGGGTACAGCAGTATCAATCATCACTATTGGACAACCTCAGGACGCAGATGAAGGAAGTTCTAAAGAAGAATTCAGGAAGTACAACCAATCAACTTGGAAAAGATGCAATGGATATATTTGACAGTTTCATTGACCCCTTTGCTAACGTTTCAACAACATTTCGCCAGAACAGTGTTATTAGGAAGCAGTTTTGTTGTGTGGATGCAGAGGAAATTCCAATTGCTCGAACCATATGCAGGAAGAAACGTGGAGGATCAACAGATTTTGTCATCAAAGACAGATTATTTTATTATGTACCATTAGTCAAAAGTGTAGAGCAGTTCCTATTACGTCCGAGGATTTTGACTATGATTGAAGAGGTACCCCAGAGGTGCAGTGAAGGTTTTTTTCATGACCTTGTTGATGGTTCTCTTTTAAAATCTCATCCCTTATTTTCAGAGAAACCAAATGCACTGCAGATTATTCTGTATACAGACGAAATAGAGATCTGTAATCCACTAGGATCCTTTTCATCAAAGAACAAGTTGTTAATGGTGTACTACACCCTAGGAAATATAAATCCAAAATACAGGTCTAAGCTGGCTGCTATTAGGCTACTTGCGATGGCTAAATCAGCAGACCTCCGTCAATCTGGTGTAGATGTAATATTGAATAGAATAAAGGAAGACATGGATGCATTGTACAGTGGTGTTAAAATTCAAACTATTAACGGGGAGAAAACAATACATGGTGCTATGGTTTCTCTCTGGCGACACCCTGGCACAGCATGAACTCGCAGGGTTTAAAGAAGGAGTGGGCTTTGCTTACAGTAAGTACAGACACTGTGAGTGTTCTTTTGAGGACATGCAGTCACAATTCAACGAGGATGCATATATTAAAAGAACATTGGAGAATCATGTCAGACAGTGTGATGAAATAGAAAAGGCTAACACAGACTTGCTTCGCAACAGCCTTAGAACAACATCAATCGAAGGAGCAAGTTAGTTGACTTCCCATCCTTTGATATTATTCGGCAAACCCCGCAAGACATTATGCATGTCATTCTTGAGGGTATAGCTCCTCTGGAAATTAAATGTGTTTTGAATCATCTTGTTCAGTCAGGAGAGTTAAATCTGGACTCTGTGAATTCAGCTATTCTTGGTTTCCCTTATTCGCCTCTAGATGTTAGAGATCGACCATCCCCAATTTCTCCGAGTACACTGATGTCAACTGATGGTAAACTAAGGCAGTCATCAGGGCAAATGCTTGTCCTGTTGAGGATATTGCCATTTGTTTTGGAACATTTGAAAGTCAATGCATATGTGCAGTTGATAATGGACTTAATAGAGATTGTTCAAATAGTGTTTGCACCTGTTCTTACCATTGCAACTGTGTCAAGGTTAAAGTTACTGATTGAAAGTCATTTGAAGCATTGGAAGGAGCTTTTTCCAGACCACAATGTTACACCTAAGCAGCATTACATGATACATTTGCCATCACAGATAGAATCATTGGGTCCCATGGTCAGACATATGTGTATGCGGTTCGAGTCTAAGCATTGTTTATTTAAGCAATGGGCCTCCAAGCTCAATTTTAAAAATGTATGCAAGTCTTTGATTAATCAGAACCAAATATATGAAAGCTGCCAAAATGTTGACCCTTCCAAGCACCCAATTTTTTCAAATGAAAAGGAGATGGGTCCTGTATCTGAGGTTAGAGATCTACAATATTTACATGGGAAATTGAGGGACTTCCTAGGTTTCAGTGAAATGAACCATGCTGTATCAGTGAAATGGCTTGTGATAAATGGTAATAAATACATTACTGAGAAGTCCTTGATCCTTGCCAATGTACTAAATGGTAATACACCCGAATTTGGACTTGTCAAAAGCATATTTCTTGTTGATTCTAAGCTTTATTGTTTGGAATATCAGCCTTTTCAGTCCATATGCTTTGATAGAAATGTTATGGCTTATCAAGTTGAGGTCCCACACCTTGCACAGGCCACTGAGTTAGTGGATGCTGAAAAGCTGGTTGATTTTACCTCTTATTACACAATCAGCAGAAAGGGCCAAACCTATGTACAAGTGAAATACTATCTTGGGGATGTAATGGAATTACACAACAGTTCAAATGACTCATAGCGTGTTCCTTTGATATGATGATGTTGAAACATTTAAAGCAAACTTAGCAGGTTTAAATGTAGGACTAAGGTCCTGACTTAGGATATGTTATTAGCAGATTCAAATGTTAGCTGTTTGGATTCCAGATGCGTTTTGCATTATAGTTTGCAGTGTACCTAAATCATCTGTATCTTTGTATAATACTGGGTCTTTCTTTCAGGTTGTTTTAAATGTTAATTACATAACATGTTATCAGCCATTTAGGTGTTTATCACAATGCTGTTTATGTTTGCTAAATGCCCTTGGCCTGAATAATGTTACCTACTTTAACTTTTCAAATGAGATGTTTGCACATATTGCTCAATCACTTTAGCTTGCTGAAGAATAATACATGCTGAAAAGAATGTTCTTAATACAGTAGTTTGACTTGGCTGGTGCTGTTATTTCTGTATACTGCATTTCATATATGGACATACTTAATTGATGTACTGGGTTTTAGAGCGACAATAAAACAATGAATTTCATTTGGTCCTTATCTGTTTTTAATATGTTAAGAGATGAAAAAGGATAGGATGCTTGCAATAAGATATTCTGACTTTGAAAAAGCAGTTTTCTACTTATCAGTGTTGATCTAATATCTTTAGAATTATGGTATTTCTCAATTTAAACATTAATTTACTCAGAATCAGTATTAAAATCTCAAAAACAAGTAATAAAACCTCATTAAGATAATGAAGTAAAAAAACACTTAATGGAAGTGAAATTCACTACCGCAAAAACTTCTTTGTAAGAGGAAATATCTTGGCAGACAAAATATAAGCATATTTTGTCTTGATTTAAGATATTTCATCTTAGTAAGATTTCAGTTTTTGCAGTGCAGTCAGATGTGAATGTGTCATCTAACATTTTCAGTAAGAAAAATGGACAAAAGGAGTGCAAATACAATTTATTGAAATGTGAACCAAAACTTAATCAAACATGTTTTAAATAAAAAGCACATATGGACAGAAGGTGTAAACCTATTAAATTTATAAGTGAACACATTTAGTCAAATAAAGTGACAGACTAGGCCTGTGCAGTTGGTATCAGCTTTGCCCAGCATGGGCTCCTTCATCAGGCCTGGTCCTCCTCGCTGAGGAAAGACCCTCAGTCCTCTCCAAACCAACAGACAGGACGTCCATCACACGGAGGTTTCTCCCTGAAGTCTCTGCAGCTCTCTGGACACCACGCTGTCTCAATCCGTCCACACTGAATATGAGAGGGGGAAAATGAAAATAATAAATGCTTTAGACAATAAGAAATATAAAGTTGACTGTTGAGTTGCTCAGTTTTTTTAGATTGTCAATACTATTACTGTATAACTAATATATCAGGTTAAGAGGCACATTCAAATAAAGATTGGTCTTTAAATACATTTTGTCTTTTGAATTGTTTGTCTAAAGTCAAGGATCGAGAACTGGTACTTAGTTTTAATGATACAGTCTGGTTATTATGCTGTTTGGAGGAGGCCTCACAGGTAAGAGCGCTAACTAGCTACCATCACATGTACCTTAGCTTGACTTAAATGTATTAAACGTATAGTTAAGTGATATCAAAATATAAATAACTAATGTCATGCAAACATTAATATTTGCTTGATTCCAGTGTTGAATTTAGCACAATTGCATACAAACGTTAAGGGATTTTAAGATTCTGAAGTATTATGTTAAAACTCAATAACTTAGATTATTATTTATAGTTTTGCTGAATAGTTTCATGTCCGCTTACCTTAGAAACGTAAAATGCGACGGCAGCGTGCAGATGGGGAGCATGTTAGCTTAGCTTGGTAGCTTCAGCTAGCTCTGGAGCTTCCAGCTCGGTGGCAGGAGGTCCCGCCTCGGCTCCGCCTCTTTGCCCTTATTTGCAGCAGGCTGGAGAAGGCGGGAGTTGAACTCTGACGTCACTGTCGAGCCGTTAGTGGCCGACTCCGCCTACTAAGGGCTTCACGGCAACTCTGCAGAATCCTATGGGTGACGTCACGGACCCTACGTCCATTTATATATACAGTCTATGGTAAAGACAAACGCATGTAGTGCTGAACACGTAACATGAACGTGCCGGGCGGCGCGGTCCCGTGGGTTAGATGCGCGTTCATAATGCAGAGGGAAATAACCATAGAACGTCTAAGCACTTTGGGGGGCGGAGCACATACGTGATGACGTCAGACCAGCGTCAGACAGATTCAGTAAAAATGTTTGAGTACTATTACCAATATGACCCAAAGTGGTTGAACACTGTATACACAATATTTAAACACAATTAATTCCCAGAAAAATAATGTTTTTTCATATACTTTTTAAGGTTTCCACCCAACTACAGTACATAAGGTGTGCAATCTTATCTTGAAGTAAAACCAGTCAAACTGTCCCAGTAGCACTGCACAAAATAATCCAGTGAACGCCTCCTCTACAGGGTCAATTAAGTTGCCTGACTTTACAAAATACTACATCCGTTTGAATTCCAACCCTTCAAATGGACAAGCTGCTGCCTCCAATCTGGTGTGCATACCGATTCTGATTCATACACTGAACAAAAATATAAATGCAACACTTTTGTGTGGAATGTTGGTCCACTCCTCTTCAATGGCTGTGCGAAGTTGCTGGATATTGGCAGGAACTCGAACACGCTGTCGTATACGCCGATCCAGAGCATCCCAAACATGCTCAATGGGTGACATGTCCGGTGAGTATGCTGGCCATGCAAGAACTGGGATGTTTTCAGCCTCCAGGAATTGTGTACAGATCCTTGCAACATGGGGCCGTGCATTATCATGCTGCAACATGAGGTGATGGTCGTGGATGAATGGCACAACAATGGGCCTCAGGATCTCGTCACGGTATCTCTGTGCATTCACAATGCCATCAATAAAATGCACAGTGTTCGTCGTCCATAACATACGTCTGCCCATACCATAACCCCACCACCACCATGGGCCACTCGATTCACAACATTGACATCAGAAAACCGCTCACCCACACGACGCCACACACGCTGTCTGCCATCTGCCCTGAACAGTGAAAACCGGGATTCATCCGTGAAGAGAACACCTCTCCAACGTGCCAGACGCCATCGAATGTGAGCATTTGCCCACTCAAGTCGGTTACGACGACGAACCCGGAGTCAGGTCGAGACCCCGTTGAGGACGACGAGCATGCAGATGAGCTTCCCTGAGACGTTTCGGACAGTTTGTGCAGAAATTATTTGGTTATGCAAACCGATTGTTGCAGCAGCTGTCCGAGTGGCTGGTCTCAGACGATCTTGGAGGTGAACATGCTGGATGTGGAGGTCCTGGGCTGGTGTGGTTACACGTGGTCTGCGGTTGTGAGGCCGGTTTGGATGTACTGCCAAATTCTCTGAAACGCCTTTGGAGACGGCTTATGGTAGAGAAATGAACATTCAATTCACGGGCAACAGCTCTGGTGGACATTCCTGCTGTCAGCATGCCAATTGCACGCTCCCTCAAAACTTGCGACATCTGTGGCATTGTGCTGTGTGATAAAACTGAACATTTTAGAGTGGCCTTTTATTGTGGCCAGCCTAAGGCACACCTGTGCAATAATCATGCTGTCTAATCAGCATCTTGATATGCCACACCTGTGAGGTGGGATGGATTATCTCGGCAAAGGAGAAGTGCTCACTATCACAGATTTTTTCAGATTTGTGAACAATATTTGAGAGAAATGGTTATTTTGTGTTTATAGAAAATGTTTTAGATCTTTGAGTTCATCTCATGAAAAATGGGAGCAAAAACAAAAGTGTTGCATTTATATTTTTGTTCAGTGTACATACTGTAGCCTATGTCATAGTGAATGTGAGAAATCAGTGGTTTTGCAAGAACACTGGTGATTCTGTGAAATCACTGGCTGATTAGTGGTTTTTCAAAATCACTTACTAGTGATTCAACAAGTTACAGAATTGTATAATTATATAAATATAGGTAAAATATAGTGATCAAATATAGGTTACATACCTTGTGTTATGTGGGAAATGACAAAAAGATGGTTCCAGAATGATTCAGAAGTGGGACAATGAATAAAGCAACCTCTGGGTTAAAAATAACCCAGGCAGGTGTTCAATTGCAATTGAAGCCCTAATAACCCATTAGACCCAACATGAACAACCCACCAGTGTGTTTACAGTACCCAAATAACCCATAATTATGACCCAGCCAAATCAACCCAGCAATGTGTTTATAGAAATAACCCAGCATTTTTTAGAGTGTAGCTGTCGTCTGTTTTTTTCTTAATATTCGCTGAAACATAGGAGGTAGTGGTGTCCCGCCTGTGTATACAATACTGTAGGGGTGTTTCCCCTGGTAGGTTCAAGAGGCGTTTCCCCTTTGGGTTTCGTCTGGAGGGGCCTTGATAGTGTTGGGGTACGGCGGTTAGAGCTTCACTTTCCCCTTTCCCTAAACTTGCTCGGGAGCACTTCCGTGGTTCAGGGGGGTTGCCGGTTACCTGGTCGCCTCTCTCGGTCCAGCGGGCTTTAAGTGCGTAAATACCCGCCGCTACGCGTCATGAAGAATAGGGGGGGAGTTATTGTTATTATTATTGGGATTGTGATAAAACAGAATTCCGATCTCCCTGTTTGTATCACACACAGAGGATTGACAATAAAGTTGACTGACTAATAATAATAATAACAACCAAGCATACTGCATGATCCACTTCCACTACACTCCAATGTGTTATTTCTCCTCCTGCTACTTTTTTATTAAATGTTTTTTTTTACCATGTCACTTTCCTGTGAGACCTAGTCCCTTCATTTCGTATCCCTGTTCTCTGATACATATTTCAACTACTATAACAAGTACACGCTTTACATTTTATTGCTAGAAATGATCAAAGCAATTGATTGATTGTCCTTTTATTCTCCGAGGGAAACAAATACTCAATTATGCTGAACTTTAAATGAGTCAATTGTTGCTTATTCTAAACAGCGTTGTTGTAGTAAACTACATTAAACTATTATTTTTAATGCATTCTTTCAGTAGATGGCTCATAGTTTAAAAAAAATAAATTGTTGGAGGGGAGCATTGTATGTGAACAAAAACTAAAGTGTGACATATTTGTAATATACTTGCCCATAATGTGCATAATGTTCTTTTAGGATATGTTTGCAATTATATCAGTAAGTGTTGCCTCTTCTGGAGCACGTGTGGGCTGTTTCTGTCGAGAAAACAGAGAAAGTAGGCTGCTGGCCTAATGTGGTCATGTAAGTGGGTGTAATATTACATAATGAATCATAGAAAAGCATGGTTTATTCTGTAGTTTAATTTTACACACACCAAAGCAGTTCTCCACAAGCAAGTGGAAAAGTAGAAGATTTGAAAATATAATTGTGCAGACAAAATGTTTAGTGATTTCACCTTAATGCACAAAAACAACAGTGTAACAAAGATTTTTTTGTTGCCAAGACATTGAAAGCTTTGGACGGACATGTCTATACTCTAAGAGAGTAAGAATTTGACTGGGAGGTGTGTCCCAATGCTCTTACACCATCCCTTCTTTAGTCTTTCTGCTTCTGTAGATCATCAGAAGGTATCCCAGTGCAATGAGGAGGAGGGTGATGAAGAGGAAAAGAATGCCAGCCCAGGGCCCTGGGGGCAGAGCCTTCATCAGCCCGAGTCTCTCTGCTGGGACTATACTGCTCAGACTCAGCATGAACCCCAGAGCCCAGCCTACTGAGGCTCCCCCTGCCTGAAAAACACAAAAGAGGACCACTGATACAAGGAAACTGATTCAGGTACAGAATCAGATTACCTTTATTAGCCACACAGAGGGGACATTTACAGCAGTACATGGGTTATATTAATTTGAACCCAGACTCGATTCCAACGAATGGCAAATACAAAGTCATTTATTTCCTTTTACTCCTGACCTTTTTCTCAAAAGAGATGGACGGAAGGGAGTGGTTATCAAAACCGTAGCCCTGCAGTAAGAGGACCTGGACGAAATTGGAGATGGCGCAGACATTCTTCATGTATTTCTCTTTCTGCTTGAACGTTGCTGTCATCTATGAATGGAGATAAGATGTTGATTGTGTTAGTCCAATCTTATTCGTAATCTTGTCCAGCATTTCGAGAATATTTAAATGAAAGGCAGATAACATAAAGGTTTTGGGGTTGAAATTAGATCTATCTGGTGGGTTTCAACATGAACTTGTTTTTATTGGCTGGGCTCAGAGAGAGAGAGAGTACCTCAGAGATGGTCATGTTGCAGATCAGTTGAATGGCCTCCTTCAGTCGACTGGGGGAGGTGATGGAGATGTTGGAGAGGCTGTTGATATAGCTATGAGTGAAGAAGAAGGCAGAGAATGCCTGTGGAGAAGATGGCACACTGTCAATCCAAGCCAATAATGCCACAAACTTAAAGATGTGGCCAATGAGTTCAAGCTTTGCTGGATATAGTTTTACTTTGCACCTGCTGTCTCACTCGAGGCTCACTCACCATAAAGCTTCCTTTCACGTTGGGCTGGAAGACTCCATTAAAGGAGCACTTGGAGTAAGAGCAGTTCTCGAAGGAGAACAGCTTTTGTACGTTGTCCAGGCAGCTCCTGTAGTCTCCTGTCCCCACTACTCTTACCGACCTCTGGGGGTCAAAGTTGGCTGGTTTGTAGCTCTGAGTGCAGGGAGAATCAAAGACATCCGGCCCCAGCTTCACAGATGTGGTGAACTGTTGTGGGTAGCAGGGATGGGACACCTGGGGCTTCACACCTTCAGTCTGAATGATGCAAAACAGAAGAAAGTGAAATCTTCCTCCAATAAAAAAATTGAAGATGCTGCATATGATGAATAGTATTATTCAAAGCCGGTAGAACGGGGAAAGTCTTAATCAACCCACACTAACAGTGGTATCATTTACCATATATTACATATTTCAGTAAAAAGATAATAATTTAGTCTTGTCATAAAGTGGGACATTGCTTGGTAACAAGGGGACACTCCTGAAAGGCACAGGTGTGGAATCTGGATTCTGTTACCTTGGATTGGTACCTGGCCACCTGTTCCCCCTCCAGCCATTATTTCTGCTCAGCTGGCACCAGCATCATATTAGAAGTACATACATGTAGAGTTGTATTTATCCTTTCGTCTTACTCGCTGCAATAAATGACTTAGCCTTACTAATAATGCCAAACTGTACTGCAGGGAATAAACAGTGCCTTAGTATAAGGTCCAGGAGAGTTTTCATTCAGCTGATCTCGATCAAAAGTCATGAAGTCTTGATGTTTCAAAGAAATAGCCATATGTAACCTTTTTTTTTTATAGTACCTTGATTAGAAGAGCCAGCAGTTTGCGCAGGAACTGGTCTTGGCCATAGCACAGGAAGCTCTGGGTATATAGCCTGTAGGTTTGTCCATAAAGCTTCAGCTCCATCACATTATCTTTGTCCTCCACCTCTTCAGAGGTCTCAAAAGCAATCTGTGTGGAAGCTCCGCCTAAATCCAAAGCTCCAATCGTCTGTCTTCCTGGATTCAGCCAACGCCCAACAAAACCATACTGAGTGAAAATAAAGGACATGTCAGGACATAACAATTTGTATTGATGAAGGACAATGACAAATGTCTAATACTGCACAGAGTTTAATCTGAGGCAAACATCCAAATAAAAACACTTCCATAGAAACTCTCAAAGCCCCTATGTGTGGATCCTTAACCAACATAAATGAATTGCCATGACATTTGATATAAATAATTAAAATATTTTCCCTGATCCATTGATCCTCTGACTTTTCAATTATTGCCAATTTTAACGGCCTTTATTGGAGTTGTTAGAGTGAAAGGGGAGGACAGAGGACATTGCCTCAAATGTTCGGCTGACTCAGGATTACGATGATTGACCCTTTTTTGTAAGTTTGTTTCCATCGGCCTCAGCTTTAATTTCTGTTTAGAACTAATTTGCATGTCAGTATGCTAACACTAAACTAAGGTTGTGTACCATAGACTGTGGTCCGTACCAAAAGCCAGGTAGCAGCCATGTCTTCTATGTTGGAAAAATGTATACATAATGCAGTTAACCCACACTTTATACACACTTTACCACTATTTGCAAGTTGTATTCAGGACTAAGCATATCCCAAAATGCATAAGGCTGCAGCGTGTCATCCGCTCTGCAGAGAAGGTGATCGGCTGCAATCTGCCATCCCTCCACGACCTGCATGCCTCCAGGACCCTGAGGTGGGCTCTGTGATCGCACTTCTCCACTCTGCTCTACGCACGCATGGTCCTCTCCTCCAGATGAGTGACGTATCGGGCCTCCCTCATGTATTTGTCCGGTTGCCGTTGGCTCCCCTCCACGTAGTCCTCGTCGTCCTCTCCATCTCCTCCAACAGATAATGTCCCTCCTGTCTGTTTCCTCTCCCGTACTCCATTGCTATCAGAACCAGACGGCCTACTTGGCTCCGAGGCCCCGCGGCCGGCACCGCTGCCACTCGGTACAGAACTCTTCTGTCCTTCCTCCTCATCCTGGCCTACAGGTTTAAAATAACCTGTAAGCTTCGGCATGTTATGTAATAGCTGCTTGTCTCGAAACTCCTTTTCCTTTTCCGAGCGCTACTCTCACATTTTTTCTTCTCAAACTTTTTCTCCTAAACAACCTTCATCTGTCACTCAATCACTCGCAATTTGAATAAGTCACATTTGAAACATATTCTCATTCTGATTGGCTGTTAAGTGGTGCCCACTGACTGTTTCGGAGTCATCATTTTTGAGAAAAATCTCTGGAATCCATCGATCTGATTGATTAGCGGAGCAAATGATCAAAATACTACGGAGGGAAGATATTTACGTTTGGATTACTGGTCTGGGGAAAGCTCACGAGTGTGTGTGTGTGTGTGTGTGTGTATGTATACGTGTGTGTGTTTGTGTATTTTTGCGTTTGTGTGTATTGTGTTTTTTTCCCGGGGAAAACACACACGAGAAACACCGGCTGTTGTTATGCCTGCTGTGACGTTAAGTTACTCCGTTCTCCGCTTGTAATTATGCCGTTACAAGCTTCAAAGTTGTATTTATCATCTGAATTTGCCGAAACAAGTTTAATATTCTGAAAGCCAAGACTTTGTTTATTTGAAACCAGATGAAAACAAACTGTAACGGACCCTGCCGTGTTATCTATGATTACTATACGCCTTACATTCATAATTTCAGCGGAGGGAGGGGAACGGCAGAACAGCAGAGTGGCGAGGGAGAGCTGTCTTCTTCCCTTTACAAGTTTCAAAAATGTATTTATCTTATGATTTTAGAAATAAAAGTTTCATATTCTGAAAGCCAAGACTTTGTTTATTAAAAAAAAACAAAAAAACATCCGAAATAAAAAAAAAAAAAATGTAGAAAAAAAAAAAAAAAAGATGTATTGGCTCATGATAGGCCCCCAATCTCCGTAGGCCCCTGGGCTTCAGCCCAGGTCAGCCCGTGCATTAAGGCGGCCCTATGTGTATTCACTCTCTGTCCTAAGTGCCTTGTTGGAGCTCCTGAAAAATGTCCAACGAGGCATTTTGGGGCAGCATAGACTGTGTTAGAGTTGTACTCGCTACAGGGTGTACTTTGAGGGTTTTTTACTCTGCAGACCGTTTACATGCATAAAAACCTTCATAACACACAAGGGGACCGGTAATAAACGGAAAAGCATGACATGGGACCTTTAACTTCCCAATGCCTGTGGTCTTAATGGACACTGTGGCAGTTACCAACACTGTGTCACAGAATAGATAACTTGTAAATATAACATAAAGTGTTTGTAAATAGTTGGTTTGTCAAGGCCTTCAGCCTCAGTTAACGCTCTCCTATACATTAATATGACCAGCCGTTGTTTATTTTATAATAATAATAATAATAATCCTTATATTTATTATAGCGCTTTATCAAAGACTCTCAAAGTGCTTTACAAATACACATTACACATACAGATCATACAGATTTTGTTTATTTATCTTCTTAATTTCTCATCCTTGTTACTGTTTTCTACTATTGTCCCCTCATCCATATTGTAAAGCATCCTTGGGTTTCTTAAAATATGCTATATATATCCAAGTTACTATTATTATCATTTTTGGGACAGACCCAGTTTGGGACAGCTGTAAACACGTTTGCCACCTTTAAGGTGGGATTGACACGCTAATCTAACTATTTTCTAGCATACTAACACCTTTTAAAAGCATCTCAAAACAGCCCCCTACGTCACCCTTCAAAACCCCCACAACATGTTTTCAGTTGGCACACAGGAACACGGCATTCTGAAGAGCGCATCAAGTCCATCAATGACCTTCCTTCTGTTGAGCAGAAAATGTACTCACCTTAGCAAAGTTTTCCAGTAAGTAGTTGACTGTGACCCAGCCGTATGCCCCCTCCTCCTGTCCACTCAGGATGGCTGCCTCTTTGAATTTGAAAGGGTAAGACCGCATTTTCTTTTCCACTTCCTTCAGTACCTGTTTGGACTCTGTGGCATTCACTTCGCTATTAAAGAGTGGTGGGAGTTCAATGGAGAATAAAACTATGTTTAATCCTTCCAAAATCTATTATTCATGCGTAATTGATGAGGAATGTGGTATAAATATTAGTGCCACATCGTGTCCTTATAGAAAGTTATACTGACTTCAAGAGTCTCATGCCGGCAGTGGCTCCCAGATAGAGGGGAGTTTGGTGGTGCCTGGGTTTGGGGACATCCTTCACAGCCTGGTTCAGACAGTCTTCCAGACTTTCTGCTGCTCCACCACGGATACCTGCATAGCTAGATATCCCTCCACCTTGACAGCAAAATAAAGTAGTTCTTCTTACAAAGGCCTCAGTCTGACCTTTTCTAAACACAGGACAAGGAAGCCCTGCACGAAAAAGGATCTAGTTGGGGTTTCTAAGGAAACTCTGAAAACACACAGGAAATAACAATGACTAAGATGTGCAAGACAATGTTGAGGAAGTAGAGCTCCAACATTATGAAATGTTTTCTTTAATATTCTGATAAATACATTGGATATGTATCTATAGGACAACATAAGTGAAAGTAAGAATGTCTTCAGCACCAGGAGACAGTCTGCAGTTTAAGGGTCAGTTCAGGCACATCAAAAAAAGTTAGACTGACAAAGTGCTGAATCTGTTATTCTTACACTATTCTTGCTCTGAACAATAGCTTTCAAGCAGTAGGCCTACTTATTTTCAACCACAACTAGCTTTACCATCAGATTCTGACGTTCATCTTGTCACTGCCAGGCAAACCACATTTTAAGCAGTAATGTGGTTTCTGTTTTGCCGCCCTTCTCTCACCGACTGGCTCACCTTTCACATGACACTCGCTGTGCTGGGTAACTATACCGGTGTCATTTTGCTTATCAGCCAGCCATTTGTAGATGTACATGGAGGTGTGGGACGAGCCCGCATCCAGAACAATTCCATACTGAAACACACAGAGCATTAAATGTCAGACATATGTAGAAAATACAGCATGATTCTAGTGCCTCATTTTAGAACGTAGACTATAGAGTTTGCCCGATATATTGCTCTGCTGATGTCTCATATTGAGCTAATATGACATCTAAAATACCTCAGTGCACCTCTGATAACATTGCTATTGACCACACAAGGTATTTCTTTGAGCAGTTGTAGCAAGTCTGTGTTGTAGAACCTGCGTGGGCTTCTTCTCTTTAGTTTCCATCTAACTGTGGTGGGCAGCATGTGGCTGCTGCCTACACTTCATGTGAACTGGTTTTGTAACCTGAATTGAATAAACTGCAAGAGACTGAAATTGCATCATGAAATTGCAGCCAAGTTTGGCAACCTATCAGTGCAAAAGAAAAGCAGAATCGCTAGCATGCACAATGCAGGTCGTAGGGAAGTAACAAAAGTGCCTCGGAGGCACTGCCAAGGTGTCCTTGAGCAAAGCATCGATCCCCCAACTGCTGCCGGCGCCGGAATACTGGCAGCCCTTTTGCTCTGACACCTCTTCATTAGTGCATGTCTATAGGTCCTGTTTGTGCATGTGTGTATGTATTTAAGACCTATTTTGTACTTGAAAAAATAATACCAGAATGAAAACTGAATTTCAACTTAATTTCATAAAAATTCACCTTGAGCAGGGAGGCCAACAGAGCAAAGGGCTGCCAAACTCAAATCCTAAATCTTGGGCAAAGTGCAATAACCGCACACAGACATCTTATCCTCATCAGGCCCTTGTTAAAGCTGCCTTGTTGTCAGTGTTAAACCTCTCGCTCTCATTTCCAGCCATGAGACTCAAAAACTAAAGTTAATTGATTTGCTATATAAAATGGGTTTTTGTGTTATGTATTGTGATATCTGAACTTATTCAGCTGTGTTGACTTTTCCTCTCTTTGTCTGCTCTTTGCTTCGAAGCATTCATTTATATTCAAGTATAAAATCCCTAGGCAATAGCGAAGAATACATTCTGTAGCCTTTTAAAAACTATTTCAAAGTGTCTACCTCATTAACAAAAGGAAGCGCTCATGAATAACTCTCAGAAAGATCGGCTTCTTTTATCTCTTTCAACTCTCTGTCTAGCTCTGCAGAACACCTTTCAGTCTTTGAGGTTAACACACAGCAGGTTGCTGCATGATGGTAAGAGCTGCCGGTTTCATTTTGAGCATTCGCACGCAAAAAGACATTTGGCCTGGAAAGTAAAAATGAGGGCATATGAAGTTTAAAACGGAACCCCTCCTCGATGGCTGTCTGCGAGGCAGAGAAGTTTGTCAGCAACAGTCACATGTGAAATGCTTCAATTTAGAAATATTTGGTCTCAGCTAAGATAAGCAAATGAATATGTAGTTTATAACATAGCTTATTTGTGAGTGGTGACATTAAGACATTACATTGAATATTTCACCGACAAAATGACCATTGTTTATCAATTACTCACCTTGCATTACCTTCAATTGTAGAACAAAGGTTTTTTTCTCGTTGTCCACCGTGGTAAACAAAGAATCCAAAAACTTTAAAGAAAATTCTTGAATGGAAGAAAATGTGGGCTATTTCTTTTTTTAACAGCAAAGCTATATGAAAACATCTGTTAACAAACTCAAAAAACGCATTCACTATCATGTGACCCCGGGCGCCGTTCAAAATGGCAGCACACTGCTCCTAACACTAGGATGGGTCAAATGCAGAGAAACAATTTCCCCACGAGGGATTAATAAAAGTCTATCTCCATCTTAATGTGCTCACCACTTACTGAACACAGGGCTTTACACTAAAAGAGTACAAAAGTAAATTAAAAAAAGACAGTGTGAGGAATTGTTCATTATGTTTGCAAATGATCATTTTGGCTGTATAGAATTTGAAAAGCCACGTATTTAAATAGGCGGTGTTTTAACATATCACATAAGCCATGTTTCAACAGCACCGTATGACTCTACTCGTCTCATTCTTTTTCTGGTTTTCCATTAGGTAGACCAGTACACCACTGGCAATTGAGAATCACCACAAGCCTCACAAGACATCCTGCACAACCAGACATTGGTGTGCCATTAACCTGGCTTTGTATACTGCAGGGTAGCTGGTGGATTTACTCCAGGTGGAACTAAAGTCTGATTTAACACTTGATTAGATTTCACATCATTCATCCACATCTGTAAAGTAACTAAAGGTATTAAATACATGTAGTGGAGGAAAAGTACACCATTTACCTCTGAACTGTAGAGGAGTAGAAGTATAAAGCAAACAATTGAAATACTCAAGTAAAGTAAAAGTATCTTACAATTGTACATAAAGGTGGTGTAGGTAATTTTGGAGAAACCAGCTCGAGTGCGCTAGAATTTGAAAATACACAGACGGAAAAAATCTGCCACTTCCTTACAGAGCCCCTCCTCCAACACACACGAACGCGCACATGACCAATGAGGGCACGAGATAAGTTTGTGCCCCGCTCAAATGATTGGTCGTGCTTTTTACAGCGCCACGGCTTCCACAGATGACATTTGTTTATGGATTTGTTGTCAAAGCACTTCAGATATTCATTGCTATCGGCAGTGCTTGAATTGGAATGAAAAAGGTGCCAGTACTCTAAAATCAGCAACTTTTTCAAGTCAATTTTATATATACAGCCCACAAACAAGAATTTGGCTACTATAATGCTGGTGGGTTTGTCTCTTTACTACTGTATATTTTAGAAAGGTTCACTGTACTTAACATTTTTTATGATAGGCAGCGGATATGGCTAAAGCTCAGTAAGGTCAATATTAACTGAAAATATAGCAATCAAAGTCTAGATCTTCTGCTGAAGACACATGAAGCAGAGACCTTTCAGGTGAGAGCCCCTCTGGTGGTGTTCAACATTAATGACAAGGAAACAAAGCTCTGGTCAGAAGCATTTTTTATAAAAAGCTTTAACAAAATTAAGTATTTCTGTACATTTTGAATGCAATCTAACTTTCCAACTCAGAAAACAAAAAACGAAAAAGTGCCAAAAGTCTTCTCACATGGCTGAGCTGCTTTGCAATATACTTCACCACTGAAGAATACAAATATGTATAAAGTAAACTATGATGCAATCTAACTTTCCAACTCAGAAAAATGATAAAGAGCATGAACAAAGAACATGTAAAAACAAATGCAAAATTTGCACAATCTAAAATGAGAAACTGTAACTGCAAGTAACAAAGTCTGAGCCATGGTAAAGAGTTACATTGAACACCAAGCTGATCAGATAACTCCCTGGTTGGTCTGAAGTCCTTCTATCTCCAGGATCTGTACAAATCGGCACATTATGCCAAAAGTCTTCTCACTGGGTGAGCTGCTTTGCAATATACTTCACATTGTTAGAAAAGGCTCCAGAAGGCCTTGGGGACATCAGTATCAGGGGCTGGAGCTGGACAGGCTCTTTCATCAGCACTTCTCCTTCCCTTTGCCAGCCAGGACCTCACATACTGTTCCGGATTGAACTGTCCTAGTGATGGTCCATTACATTTAATGTAAACCAGGCTGGACAGTCGGCTGACAGAGAGAGCATTCCTTTTTGCAGTAAGGATATCGTTCATGCAGCTGAATGCCCGCTCACACTCACTAGTGGAGACAGCGATGGTTCGGACTGCTTTCAGTAGAGGCTCCATGGCAGCAGGTGTACGGGATGCCCTGGTTTCCTTGTATTCGCGAAAGCCCTGAACAGTCTCTCTTCTGTCCACTTTCAGCACTTCGCACAAACGTAGCACCTCTACGTCCCCATACTGTACGTCTAACTCCTCTTCAGGCCAACTTCCAGGATGGATAACTTTCATGTCCTGGATTAGCTGATTGTCCCGGGCCTCCCGGCCATGTAATGGGATTTCTCTTGTACTGACATGAGAGGAGGTTGTGGAAGTCATTCTGTGTCTCAGATTCTCTACCATACTGCGGAAAAACTGACCTGCATGAATCTGTACAAGCCTGCCATTCTCACGCAGGGCAACACCCTTGAAGGACTTCTCAGCTAGAGCTGTATGAACTGTAGTCATGTGTGGGCCAGGCATGGTGACCATGGATTCAAAAACTCGTATTTCTCGAGTTAAGAGCCTATCTGCTGTAGGCAGTGTCATCTCTCTTTTTTGGAGTTGCCGAGAGAGGTCGCTGAGCTCTGTGAGCGCATCGTACATCAGTCCCAGATTGCTGACAAACGTTGCAGATGTGAGCACATCATCCAGGCCCTTGTACTTTGCTCTGTCTCTGGAATCCCTGCTCGTGTCGTTTGCAGCATTTGTGAAGTGATCATGAAGCACTCGGTAGTTTCCCCAGACTGCTCTGACGCTCCTTTCACTTGAAGCCACCCAGCGGATGGACAAAACACGCCCTATCACCAGGAGACGCTGTCCGACTGCTTGCGCACACTGCGCTAACTGCCTCTGATTTTTGGGGGAGGCATGGAACAAGGAATAGAGTTTGTCAAAAAAGATCTGGAAATGATTGAGCCCTGAGACCTCCTTGACCACATCCCCAACTGCCAGCTCTAGACGATGATTGGAGCAGTGCCACACAAACAGGCTTGGGAATGTACTACACAACTGGGTAGCAACGCCTGTTCTCTTCCCTAGCATGACTGAAGCCCCATCACATGCAAAAGAAACGAAACACTGACCTAAAAAGTCCTCGTTAAAATCTCTTCCAAGACACTCCATTAACGCCTTTGTGATGTCATCAGCCGTTGTTCCATCCAACTCGATCAGCTCCCAAAAAAACGTTTCGGGCTCAGCATCAGCTAATGCTGAGCGTAGACACACAACAAGCACCGTTTTACCACTAATAGTGGTAGATTCATCGACCAAAACACAGAGTTTTCTTTGGTTTTCTGTAATGTCTTTTGCCATTTTTTTCTTCAGCTCATGAGCTATGTGGTCGATGATTTCGCCACAGGTTTTATTGGAGTGCAAAACCCTGCCCACGTTCAGCCCATTCAGTTTCTGTACATTCAAATCAATTGGCATGTCTGTGAATGGCCGGCTATGTTTGCCAATTTTATATGCCGTTCGAAAAACTCTGATAGTGGTGTCTAATTCAGATTTATGCATAGACTGCACTTGATGTTGAATAGTTTCACGTGAAGCAGATGTAAGGATGTCAGCAGCTTTTACATGGGCTTGTGATTCTTTATGTTCTTTGATTTTTTTTCTCAGGCTAGCTTGTTGTTTGCCCTTGTCAACACCGAAATGAGACACTGCACACTCACCCCATTCAGTTGACAGTTTCAGTCCTTGTCCAGTGTGTATTCCCAAAGATTTGACATCTCTGCATATCCGACATCCTAGCTTCTTATCTTTAAGAAGGAGCCATGCATTGGTCTTGCAAAAATATTGCACCTGGTCCGTTGTCCAGCAGTCAGGTGCATCGCTTTGCCCGGTGTTGGTGGTGGCAGTTGCGCCAGCAGCAGCTAACGTTAGAGGCTCTGGAGGAGGCGGCGGAGCTAGTGCTAATGCTAATGCACTAGAACTTGGAGCAGGAGGATCAACCAAAGAAAGCTCCCCATCAGACACAATTTCCAACACAGGCACAGCATTCTCTGTATTTGAAGTTTCTTCCGGCGACAACCGCTGTCTTTTTGCACTTTTATTAATCCACGCTAACATTTTAGAAATGCTAATTTGTGACCTGACTTGCTTTCCTTCTCTCGGGGGCGTGCCTGCTCTGTTCTATCACTCTACATAGCCACCCACTGGGTGGGAGTTGCACTGCATAAACACAACACACGTGCATCTAGGTATGTAAATTGTAAAGCATTAAAACATGGTTTTACTAACAGTTTTCCGTATGTTGTTACTTCGGCATTATTATTATTATTATTATTTTGAAACGTGTATTACTATTAAATCACGGTCAAATAGGTTAATTTTGACATAGTCGTTTCCACCACAGTATTTACATGGAGAAGATAAGCCCCGCCCCCTCTCCAGCACGTTCTGTTTGAATGACAGGAGTAAACAGCTGACAGCCGCTGTGAAACTCCAGCGGTTAGAGCGATGAGAATGTCCGTTCGGCACCTCATGACGCATCTACTGAGTACCGGGCGGCTGTATATATATGTATATGGATGTATAATAAGAACGGCGGGAGAGTATTGAGTACTGGCACGGTGCATGAGTACCGGAGTACCGCCAGCATGCCGGTACTGAGCAAGAAGTGCCGGTACTCCATGGGTCAGAACCAGAAGTGCCGGTACTGCGTACCGGTGAGTACCGGCCCAATTCCAGCACTGGCTATCGGGGTGCTAAGAGCATTCCATGGAATATAGCTTTCCATCTGTGCACAAACTTATCTCGTGCCCTCATTGGTCATGTGCGCGTTCGTGTGTGTTGGAGGAGGGGCTCTGTAAGGAAGTGGCATTTTTCCCGTCTGTGTATTTTCAAATTCTAGCGCACTCGAGCTGGTTTCTCCAAAAGTACCTACCCCACCTTTAAGTACAGTATTTGAGTAAATGAACTTACCTCCAACCTCTGCTCTTGGCAACACATTCCCAACAATATGTTAAAATTGCATCAAATTACCAAATGTAAAGTTTATTATATCAGTGGAACTTTTAATGTGCAAAACCACATTAATAGATTGAGACGGCCCTATTGCAGAGACTTTGCATGACTCCTATGAACCTTTATCACTAAGACATGTAAGGATTAACTGTAGGGTGATACAATAAGCCCTTCTCATCTCCCCTCCGTAGGCAGACTACCTTCATCCGAAGAAAATGTATAAAACACTGTAAACAATAATGTCCGTAGTCCCTCATACAGAAGAACGACCTCAAAGACAAAAGCTGAACATGTAACTGTCAATTCGGAGATGATGCTTACTCAAAAATGCAATTACCATGTTTTGGGGGGGTTTCTCCATCTCGTTGGCAGGAAGGACCAGCAGCAAAATCCCGACTATACCCAGTACCAGCAGCACGAGCGCAGGGATGATGCTGTAGTCCCGCAGCGCCATTCTGCCGTAAAAGCGCACGGGCACTTGCTCAGCAGTAAAGACAGGGAAATCAAGAGCGTGAAATAAATGGTTGATGCTGCAACGCGTCATATGGTTGCCCGCTTCCTCTAATCTTGCACGCACCCTCGCGCATGCACGAAGCGGAGTTTGATGGATATATGTAGGCTGTATTCTTTATATGGCACCAAATTGACAGAAGTGGAAGAAGAACTCAGATATTGTGCTTGAGTCTAAGTAGAAGTATCAGAGTGTACGCTGATACAGTAAAAGTTCTGCATTCAAATTTCACTCAAGTATAAGTACAAAAAGTAAAAGTATAGTCCATTTCAGAATAATATATATGATATGTTTTATAATGATTGATCATGAAAGTGTTCTCAAAGCTGGTAAAGGTGCAGCTAGTTTGAATGACTTTGTATACTGCAGGGTAGCTTGTGGATTTACTCCAGGTGGAACTAAAGTCTGATTCAACACTTGATTATATTTCACATCATTCATCCACATCTGTGAAGTAACTAAAGGGATTAAATACATGTAGTGGAGGAAAAGTACACCATGTACCTCTGAACTGTAGTGGAGTAAAAGTACCAAGTGCATAACATTGAACTTAAGTACAGTATAGTTACTTCCCACCGCTGAAAACACACTCTTCTCCTTCAGGGTTTAACTGTTGGTGGTCTTCTGTAGATAATTTAGTTTTCCTTCAGCATTGCATTCAGTATGTCTCTCATGTATAACAAGCAGCTGTGACATAAACAATCTGCATGGAGACAGGCCAGCTGTTATATGCTCCTGCTTCACTCAAGAGCATTAATGTCACATACAGTGATTGTGAACTGTTGTGTCAGTATTGCACAGTTAAAGATATGAATAAATGATGGCGTCATAGCTGGGGGGATATAGGTCAAAGGGACTGTTTGTGGGGATGAAAGGTCTGGTGTCCACAGAGAGGAAGGACTTCCTGTGGCACTGTGTCTCTCTCAGGAAATGAGTCATCTCTCAATATCACCTGTGTCTGACCAGCACTTCATGGTGGGTGGGAGACAGGTCCAACATGAGAACATAATGAATGAAGTGATGAGCCAACTACAAGGGTTTGCTCTTTATATATTTGTATCTTTTCGTGTCAATTCATTTTTCTATGTTTTTTTTATCTTTACCAAACATGGCCTTTATTTGTAACTCTCCTCTACCACCTGCACTCCTTATGTGGATTTACAAAGCAACTCATACTGTATGTAGAGGCTTACATTACAATCTTACATTCTTACTGAAAGTACTTCAGTGTTTTTGGAGGTGTATATGTGGTGTCTCATTTCTGGGACGTTTGGGCTATACCTGTGAAGTCATGTGTACTTACCTACTTATTTTTCTATACTTTTCTTCTAGTACAACTAATGTGTGCTTTTCTTCTATATATTAATATGTTAGCTCATTCTGTATTATTGCATGCCTTTTTTTTTACCTGCTATGCCACTTTTGCTTCTGCAACTTTGGCTGTAACATTGCAAATGTCCCCTCTGTGGGACGAATAAAGGATTTCTGATTCTGATTTATATCCACTAGAGGGAACTACAATCTAGTCTCTGGAAGGCACTTTCAACAGGAGTGTTTTTAGTTCTTCTAAAGATTGAACTGTGATTAAATCAATGGAATCTACATATATTAGGGAATGTCCCAACTTGTCCTTTACTCAACATAAGAAGAACACACATATTAAGATAAAAGACTGACCTGAAAATGTTATCATCAAAAAACAGAATTTCCCCCTTGGGAAAAGGTCCATCTCAATTTAAAATAAAGATACTGGAAGCTGCTCATGTGATCTATTTGTTGAGACTATGTGACAACATTCACTACTCGGATGATTCAGAAGACATTGTACACGTTTTTATATTTTGTACACACTTTCATTTTCCAATCAACATAGATATACACTTAATATTAGATATAATATATGGTGCATTAAAGCTTCATATAGCCTGACCATGATTGTGTAGGTCATGTATCAAAAGTGTTTTAATACATGATGTAATTCAATCCAGTTCATAAGAGAGATAGAAACCGGCCTCAGCAGGCAGCATGTCAGTAGAGTTGAACAAAGCAAGACTCTATGAGATCACTTTATGTTTTTATTGTTGACCAGTAGTGTTTGTGTGTGTACCGAACTGTAGATGACACTGCAGCTTGTGGTGGGCGGTGTTCTCTGTGGTTGGGGGGTTTGGGGGGTGGGGGTGATTGCCTGAACAGATCTTGGGGGGTCACACAAATGGCAGTGAGGTGAAGAGGTCAGCAACATAATTCTGAAATGAACAGATAAATCAGAAGGGCCCAGGCCCTGGTCCAACAGCCACCTGATGGTCCCTCTCCAACACTCGCTCCTCCCCACACAAAGTGCTACACTGTAAAAAAAAAAGTCCAGCTACCATCTAAGGCTTTTTTTCTAAAGATATAACTCCGACTACTGTAAAGTCTTGTTGCTCCAGCTCATAGAGTCACATAGTGAACCCATAAATGTACCCCAACGTTTTATATTACAAATGTAAAGTACGGTCTCCAGCACATAGAAACTGCTGGATGCTAACAGCATATGTTGGGCAATTTGCACAATTAGTATACCTTGTTTTAATTAGCATGAATTACCATTACAGCCTATGTGGACAAAACTTAAAACATGGCTTGGCCAAGTTGGACAATGTTGGAGTGCTTTTGTGGGTTATTGAGGATGCTGATTATATTTCTGACATTTTAAGGCTTGACAATTGCAGCTTCAACTGGAAAATAGCAATATTTGAGCTCTGTGGGCTGATTTTGATGAATCTTTGGTCCATTTTTTATTTGAGGGGCATCTGGATCATTTGGATTTGACAGATTGCTTATTTATTTGAAAAATAATTGTCCACAGTAGAGATCATAATTTGCCATTTTTTATCCTGAAATTGCCAGACCCGTACATTTCTAACATAAAACACTGGGGTACTCAACATTTCTGGGTTCACTATGCTGGCAACCAGTATGTTACGAGAGTAAGAATAACCCATCTTCCTCTTGATGATGCATATTTAAGCAATGAATCAAACAATCGCTTGAGCCAAAAGTCTCCAGGGTTTTGGTGCCTCAGCCATTCTTGGTCTCGTTGCTTAAGCTGGGTTATGTTAGCTAATGTGAGCATATTTTAACAGTATATTCCATTATTACCGACATTCTTGAGTCAGTTCTTTGAGTTGTTAACCCCTCCTGGGCTTTCATTACATGATGTGTTATCATCTACAGTCCTGTCCATTATCCTTTTGTATTGATCACATTTACTGATAACCTGTTTACATTTGTTTTTGCACCTTACAATTACACTTGTTTTCACATTACATTACATTACATTACATTACATTGCATTTAGCTGACGCTTTTATCCAAAGCGACTTACAATAAGTGCGTTCGACCAACAAAATACAACCTTGAAGAAAACAGAATCATATAAGTACATCAGGTTTCATAGAGCAAAAACATGTCAAGTGCTACTCAACTGGCTTTAGATAAGCCAGTACTTTATTAGTATAAAAGTGCTTTGTTAATAGTTCTATCGCTCGAAGTGGAGTCGAAAGAGATGAGTTTTCAGTTTGCGCCGGAAGATGTGCAAGCTATCTGCTGTCCTGATGTCAATGGGGAGCTCATTCCACCATCTTGGAGCCAGGACAGCAAACCCACGTGTTTTCGCATGTATCCTTGTGTGAACTCTTACCTGAGCTACGAGTGTTTCATAATGTTTCCTGTTGCTGCTAAAATACCTGCATTTCCCTACAGGGATCAATAAGAGTGTATCTTATCTTATATGCAGTCCTTCCTACTGTTTACTGAAACTGCTGCTAACAATTTCCCTTGTGATGTCTTTTCACTTTCTTTTATACATCAATTGATAACTGTGACTAAAGTGGCAGATATCTTGAAACACAGCCTCACACAGCAAACCAATCCTAACCCTAATCCACCTTAAAGTTAACCCAAAAGATGTGCAACAAATGTAATTGTTGCAATTTATGGAGACTTTATGCAAGCTAAACAAAACCTTTGTTTTTCTTACACACTTAAAGCCAAGTCCATAACTATTTACTTTTCATGGCTACAAACAACTGCTCATTTCATTTGCATTTGTTGGGTGTGAACCAGATGAACACAGAAGTGATAGACTGGCTGATAATCACAAAGCTTTAGTCTTGGCCAACTCTCCAGAGAGGACGAGTATTGGTTTCCCCAGCCGAGATAACAATGTTAATTGTGTTGCTCAAGGTGAGAATGGATGATCAAATGTGATCATTTCTATTGAGCCTTCCATCTGATCACGTAACTTTCATTTAGCTGAGCTTTCAATATACAAGACCTTCATCAGAGCATACATCAGGTGATCACAAGCCGGCATAATGGAGTTAATTGTGTAAATTCAAATGTGAATTGGACTCTGCCTCAAGCAGTTCATCCTGACTGAAAGACAGTCTGAATCCACATTTCTTGCAGTGTACCACAAGCTGTAAGGTCTTCCACAGACTGCCCTGCATACTGGAGAGTCGGGGCACTCAGAGGGCATTCACACCTTGTTAAGTTTTACAACTGGTGCATTTGTCGATCCCGGGCTTCTATTGCTCCTGTGACTCGGCTCTGCTTTGAAGTGACCTTCTCTGTCGGCTGAGGTGATGGGGAAATTTAGGGTCTTCGCTGTGAATGTGAATGCAGAACACCTTGAGGTGCATATGGCCTGCTGGAATTCACAGTGTGAACCTGGAAGAGATTATCTTAATCAATTAAATATCATAACAATTAAAGGTTATTTAAAGTTATGTTATCTTCAGTCAACTAATAGGTCTACTAAGTAGCCTAAGGAGCTGACTGTGGGACTGTGAATAAAATAGTCACTCAGTTTAAGCAATAATGTATCATAATAACGGTGACACTTTACCCCCTAGTTGCTCAGATCTTGGAACATGGTGACATTACAACAGCAAGGTCACATGGGACAAGAAACAAGAGCAGTGAGGAGCAAAGGGTTAGAGAGAAACTACAGCAGCAATTCCCACAC